CTGTCTCAAAGAAAAAAATCAACTCAAGGGAGACTCTTAGAATTTGTCACCCTTCTATAAAATTTTCATAAGTATTTGCATACTAAAAAGACACCTTTCAGAGTTGGCTAACAGCTGTTAATGAGCATCCACCAGATGCATAGCCCTATTCCATGTCAGTTGCGGTTAGTATCTAGAATTTCAAGCTAGGCAGGAGAGTCTATGGCCATAGCATAGTTCAGTATAACTTTTAGTACTCATTTGATGCAAGTAATGTAACTAAATGTAAACTGTCATAAACAATAATAATTTATTGGCTCATAAAAAGGCAAAATTATTGTCAATAAAGAATCGTTTTTATTTTTTTGACAGAGTTGTGCTCTGTCACCAGGCTGGAGTGCAGTGGTGCAATCTCGGCTCACTGCAGCCTCCGCCTTCTGCGTTCAAGTGCTTCCCCTGCCTCAGCCTCCCAAGTATCTGGGACTAGAGGTGCGCGCCATCACGCCTGGCTAATTTTTTGTATTTTAATAGAGACGAGGTTTCACCATGTTGGCCAGGATGGTCTTGATTTCCTGACCTCATGATCCATCTGCCTTGGCCTCCCAAAGTGCTGGGATTACAGGTGTGAGCCACCGTGCCAGGCCTTTAAGAATTGTTTTTAAAACCAATGATTGTTACTGTAATTCTATGTCTATATTTTCTAGAGTCCACTGGACTTTAAAACATCAAAATTTGACTCTGTAATTTGCTATATTATTAGTATTATGAGTGATTAAGAAACTCATTTACTAGTAGTGTCTCAGGTGATTTCAAAGGTAATCATCCACATAACTGACTTTAAAAGGATGCAGCTATTCTGCAAATGTGGTTTATTATCAGAACTGAATGAAATATTTCATCTGGCAAAAAAAAAAAAAAAAAAAAAAAAAAAACCAATGTTAATTACAATTCAAATTTAAAGGTAATTCTACTTCAGAGACATAAATATAGTCACCTGGATCACAATTTAGTAAATTGCCTAATTAACCTACTTCAATAGCCAAAACTGTGAAACGATTACAATATAACATCTGTTTCATACAATGTTTTACTGCTTTAAAAATACTCCTACCTTAGCCAGGCCTGGTGGCGGATGCCTATAATCCCAGCTACTCAGGAAGCTGAGGCAGGAGAATCGCTTGAACCCAGGAGGCGGTGGTTGCAGTAAGCCGAGATCGTGCCGTTGCTCTCCAGCCTGGGCGACAAAGTGAAATGCCATCTCAAAAAAAAAAAAAATGCTTCTACTCTTAAAAATTACTTTATTGCAAAAATAGCAGGGCATGGTGGCATGTGCCTGTAATCTCAGCTACTCGAGAGTCTGAGGCAGGAGAATCGCTTGAACCCAGGAAGGGAGGTTGCAGTGAGCTGAGACTGCACCACTACACTCCAGCCCGGGCAACCGAGTGAGATTCTGTCTCAAAAACAAACAAACAAAAACCCACTGTATTGATATGCATAACTACTCAGGGAAGTCAACAGCACTGGTATAGGGTCCTTATTTTTCGGGTGAAGAAACTTGAGACAGCTATACGGACAGTTGTCTCTCAGTATACATAGAGGGTTGGTTATTGGTCTTTTTATTTATTTATTTTTACTCCGCCCCTCTCCTTCCCGCCACCGCCTGTTATTGGTCCATTACAGGACCCTCGAGGATAACAAAATCCAAGCATACCCAAGTCCCATACCTGGTCCTGAGGAATAAGAGTATAGGAAAAGTGGGCCCTCCCCAGACAGTTTCACATCCCATGAATACTGTATGTTCAATCTGCATTTGGTTTAAAAAAAGACAGTGGATGAGTGGACCCATGCAATTCAAACCTATGTCGTTCAAGAGTCAACTGAGGCTGGACATGGCGGTTCACACCTGTAATCCCAGCACTTTGGGAGGCAGAGGTGAGTGGAGCACCTGACATCAGGAGTTTGAGACCAGCCTGGCCAACATGGTAAAAACCCATCTCTATGAAAAAAACAAAAATTAACCAGGCATGTTGGCCCATGCCTGTAATCCCAGCCACTCGGGAGGCTGAGGCAGGAGAACTGTTTGAACCTGGGAAGCGGAGGTTGCAGAGAGCCGAGATTGTACCACTATACTCCAGCCTGGGCAGCAGAGTGAGACTCTATCTCAAAAAAAAAAGAAAGGAAGGAAGGGAGGGAGGGAGGGAAGGAGAGGGAGGAAGGGTCAACTGTACTTTGTTAAGCAATTGTATCTTGCAAAATCAAACAACTCGGCCGGGTGCAGTGGCTCATGCCTGTAATCCCAGCACTTTGGGAGGCCAAGGCAGGAGGATCACCTGAGGTGGGAAGTTTGAGACCAGCCTGACCAACA